TTCACCTCGCCACCCACTCACCACTCACCCACCTCATGTAAGAGGATCCCCCAAGCCTACTGCAACCTCTCTCTGCAAATGTCTGACAGCGTAGATATGTGTGTGTATGTGTGTGTGGTTATCAAGGGAGCTAAGGATGGGTGGTAATTGAATAATGACAGTCATCCCTCTGATGGATTACCTGTCATTCCTCTATCTTAGCCCCCTCCATCACTGTCATTTCTCTCGTCTTTGCCCCTTTTGCCTCAGAACCTCTGGTCAAATGGCAACCCGTCCTGGGCTTCCCTGGTGCCAGTGTAAATAGAGACACTCAGAAAGTAATGGACGGGTTTCATTATGTTTGCATTTTTCTGCCTGGGTATTATGCTGACTAATTCCCTAGCTTTGATCTGTTAGAAATGTACCCAGTTTTGTTGAAAAGAGATTTTAAATTTTTTTTTTTTAAGTGGTTTTAAAACATTAAGTTAATTGTTGTTTGCTAATTGTTAGGGGTGTGAGAAAATCTATGACTCCTAATGCAAATGTTCTGCATGAGCCTTGATTTATTTGATTTATATAGTGTATGAAAAAGCACTTTTTTTTCTCATACACTCTGACAATAAATCTACTACACATTTCCTATTTTAAGTTAGTGAAACTATCTAATCCCTTACAAATGCTATAGAAAAGAATGAGAGAGAAATTCATTTGAGTTTTTTGTGACTTTTTTAGTTTAAATTTTTTTTAACAAGGTTATTCCTTTGAATCATTTATAAAAAAAAAAATTAAATAATCGCACAATAAATGAATTCCCATCTGAATTTAATGAATGAATCCTGTGTCGATTTGATTAAGGGATTTTTTTTGCATACATTAACTTTTTTTGCCATTAAAAGTTGAATATGTATCACTGAAAAAACTGATCCATAAAATAAGAATGTGACCGATTAGCCTAAATGCAATTTCTGGCCGGAGCTAAGAGGAGATATCTCACCTATGGACCAGAAGACCATGTAAACTGTATAGAGAAAGTCACTGTGCAATGACTCAAGCTCAGGACCTTCTTGCTCCAAAGCAACAGAGCTAAAAACTGCACCACCTTAAAAACAATTTGTGAGTATGCTCTCAGTGATGTTTTCATATAATGTTTTCATTACTCGAATTGAAACAGTCACCCATTTTGTATGGCTCCATAAAAGCGGAGTAGATGTAGTTATTTCTTGCAGAAGTCGTGCTGTTGTCTCTTCTTGTCAGCTCATCAGTTAAATAGATCCCCCGGTAACTTGTGCTACAAACCCTGTCCAGCTTTGTGAGTCCGATGATCTTAAGGCTTCAATTATTTCCTTGGTCTTAGTGTTACATAACTCATTTGGAAAGCTTCATCTCACTTGGCTGTAATGCATTTCGTGTTTCTAGATCTGTTTTTCCAGGCCAGGCATTTCTATGTGCTGTATTTCCACAAAAAGATTTGAACTAATTCAGATTTTTCTAAACTTTGTTTTGTTGTGGTCATTGTCATATTTCAACAATATTGATTATTATAATTTTGTGGACCAGCTGATTCAAACTACTAGCTTCTTTAATCTCTGATTTAATGTCGTTAAAAAATCATAAAAATCACTCCTTTTCCGATTTCATTGTTGCATTAGAGCAAAAAAGAAGCAGCGGGTGATCCTAGGAGAGTGATTGCAGCATTTTGGTGCAGTGCAGTTCAATCTACAGTATCTGGTCATTGCTAATTGGTTCCCCTCCATCATGTGGAGGCTTTCTCTATAGGATTAATATTGTAAATGAGGTGAAGCTCTGCCAGAGGGGATTGAGACTGTAAGAAGAGGTCTGTGTCTTTGCCGGGACCACTGATGATAATAGTTTGTTCCTGATTTACCAGCTTAACCCTGAGTGTGTGTGATAAAGTGAGAGGGGTCCTTTGCTTTCATGCAAATCGGGATTGTACTGCTGCAACAACCATAATAGTCGATCACAAAAGAAAGAGACAATTATTCGCTTTATCACTGTTTAATTGAATGAAAAAAGGGAGCTCTACATATTCAGACAGAAATGACTTATTCACTAAAAGCCTTGTTTAAATCAGTAGCATGAAAAAGCACCAATTGTTCATATTAAAGTTAAATGTGGGAGTAAGAAAAACCCAGTTGATTACATTTAAAGGCAAGTTTCCTTTCAAAACAGATTTTTGAACAACATACAAAAAACATGCTGAGGATGTTTCCTGTTAGGAGTTGCAAAAAGCAAAAGCCGATGAGAAAGTTCATATCTGAACTGGCTGAAATGTTAGTAAAGTAGAAGAGACATAACTTAAAAAGCTATAGACTGCTCTGCTTCGTAGAAAAGATGACTCAGAAGGTCAGCAGGTATTTCAAAGTGGTGAGTGATTTTATTTGTATTTGTACACCTTAATTTTACCCAGAAAGAAACCAATTTCTATAATCCAGTGAAGTGCTTCATCTGTCTCAGTGCCAACATGCTTCAGAGCTGGCAAAAAATTACTAATTTCTTTACTCATACTATTCTTCACTTTTTAATTATGCAAGTTTATGTATATCAATAGTTCTGTTTTATCCTAATATATGAAACAGAAGCATTTAAAAAAATGTTTGGCTTTTTGCCTCTCTTCTACTTTGATACCCTCAAATAAATCACTATGCAATCAATTTCCTTCACGAGTGAACAGAACATTCAATAATTAACCTATTTTAGTTTAAATGCATCATTCTGAAAAGGTTTGGTGGAAAGCAATATGTGTCTGTTCTATGTATCTATGTATCTCTGCTGGGGACAGACCGACCAAATAGCATCTTACAGGCTATTTATAGTAAGTCGCCATGCTAAAATTGCAATAGTAAGAAACTGTCTATACATGTTTTTATTTGATTTAGCCTATTGGCTAATTTCTAGGTAAGGGAGCAGTAGCAAAGGGTGAACTGCTGGTGCTGGTCGCTGGGTTTGCTGCTGACTGGGTTAAAGTTGAAGAGTGGGATGAGTTGAAGCTGGTTGGACAGCGTTTACTGTGCCTTAGCCTTGCCCATGATTTGCCCATGGTTCAACAGCGAGTAGCCCTCCTATCCAACAGTGATAGAAAACAGTCTGAATTTAGCAAATTGTGATGATTTTTTTTAAACATGGAGTGACCTGCTAACAATCTGTCTTTTTTCTTCTATCGCATTTGGTTAAAAAGGCAGCCCTGACCATCTGCTGGCAAGCTGTGTGACCTCTGTCTTCACACTGCTGGGTTACCATTGATGATATCATTAGTGTAACAGAAATCAGGAAAGTAAACAGTGGAGAGCAATATATTGTAATCTTGTTGATTACCTGTCATGTCATGAGGTCGTAACTTCACTGTTTGAACATATCCATGTTTTGTTTTTTTTATACTGGTGTCTTGAACAGTGCCTGAAACCTGCCACTGAATCTCATCTTCTCTGTGGATCAGCTCATGCATCTTTCTGTCTTGCCTGTGCTGTACCATGTTTATCTAATTCAGGCAGAGTTGTTTTGGGTAGTTAAATCAGTATGTACATCAGTTGTGATGTACATGAGCTAAATTATATCACATTAACATGGTGCGATGTCCGATCAGAAGACGATCATAACCCGCGTTGCTTGCTGAATCGTTATATTGGTGAGCGGTTCCCAATGCCACTTAAAGCAGATTTTTCACAGGTTTAAACAGGGTTTTTTGGACAGATGGATATAGGTATATAAGTGGGTAGATGGTGCCAATGGTGATTGTTGAATAGCATCCAGTGATAAAATTTGAGAGATAGTTAGACTCCAAGTATTAAACTTATGTTTCTTAATAGATTTTGCAAACTCCAGGCCAGGTTATAGCTGTTAAAGTGATTGTCATGCTTGTCTCAAAGTAAGTTAATTAAAGTGTCAAAAATGTTTGTTTCTATACAAAAATAGAGATTTCATGAATCTTTAATATGTTTAAAAAATGTTATTTCATTGGTACATGTTTAACTCTTGATAATCACATTCACTGTGGAGTTTTTAAAACAGTGAAATAACTTTCCAACTTATCTGGAAGGTGTGTTAGAGGACATAATTCTTCTTTTCGACTTGCTGTTCATGACAATGTGCAAAAGAACTGAACTAACTTTTTCAGGGTGTAGAAATGTTCACAGGGGTTTTAATCATTTTTGCCAGGCAATGGACTTAGCACTGTTAGAGGAGCCGATACGCCTCTTCAATGGATGGGAGAAAAAAAAGATAAAAACAAGCAAGCAGATTTTTAAAAGCAGGTGTGAGGAAATCCGAGTGACGCAAAGGGGTGAGAAAATTTATTCAAGTCAAGAATCCCTTGGTGGTCACAGGACACAATGCATGCCTTCCTCCAAGGCGCGTAGCGTTAAGATACACAATGTGCCCGCATGGTGCAGCCCACCACGCCAGACGTGAGAAAGCACTGATCCAAAGCTGTGAGTTGCATAAGACACCCTATCACATCAGCACACAAACACACACAGTTTCCTCTGTCACACACCAGTGATATAAAATACACCAGACTGACAATTAGGGCAATAATGACTGTGGGGAAGCTTGTGTAATTCCCTCAACCACTCACATGCAGACACACACTGTTACAGTAACTGAGACTCCTAATGTCAAAGCTAATAGCACCTGGTTGTTCAGTGCCAGAGACGGACCCTGTGAGAAGGAGGCGGGAGGGTGGAGGTGCTGAAGCTTAGATTAAGTAAGACCCCTTTTCTAGCAGACGCATGGGATTGCAGCAATTTGCATGACTTTTGGTGGGTTCAGATGATTTTAGCCGGACATATTCTGGGTTTGCAGGTTAAAATCTTCACTAAAATGCAGAAGGATTAGTTATAATTACAACAGGAACCAGAGCTGTTATTTTCTACATTATTACCAAGTTATTATTATGGAGTTGTTTTTTTAAAGCTGATTAGCTGTTTTATGTGTTGTCCTGTCCTCACAGCTGCTACATTGGACAACCCACCAAGTGAGTGGAGGGCAATGATAAAAAGAGAGAGAAGAACAAAAATTTACAACGTAAAGCAAAACAGGAAAAAATGAAAATGATGGTGAAGCAGAGGGACACAGATGGCAGGGCGGAAAGGCAGAACACTAGCATGCAGACAGCAGGATGGGGTGGACTGGGTATCTTCCCCCTCTTCCATCAGCAGAAACCTGTTTGTGGGAAACAGCAGTAATGAGAGCAGCTGCAGTGGATGCACACACTCACAACATACACAATCACACACCAAAAAAAAAAGCAGAAAACACTTATCCAGCCACTTAGCCACCCACTCCTCATAAGCAAACCCACATAAAACCCAATTGTGCACATAGGCGAATAGGCGGACATCATCACTCTTACCCTCACACTCGAAGGCCTGCAGAATGGTGGTGTAACTGGGGCCCAGCCAAGAGGTGTAACTACCCAGAACTCTCTGCAGGTGGTGGGTGGCATCGCTGAACAGCAGATCGGATTGGCCGTAGCCCGCCGAGCTAAACAGGCTGAAGCCCTCTGTGGCATTGCCAAACACATTCTGCAGGAGAGACAGCGTGTGACAGCATTTAATGCATGAGAGCATGCATGGATGTGCGTTGGCGTATTCTGGGAACATGTGTGACTTTGAGATTGAAAGCATGTGCAGCTGGAGGAACATCGCAGAATATATCAGTCTCACACACTCATTCAAAAAAGGAAGCAGGGGTTTGGGGGTTCCCAACTATTCATCTCTTCAGCGTGCAGTGCAGATCAATATTCTTTACAAAAATTATGCATTGAATACATACACTTACTGGCCAGTTTATCAGATAAACTTTCCTTAATACCTGATGTCTCACAAGGTTTTGGAAACATTTGCTTCACATTGACCTGTTAGCATCAAGCTAATGCAGATCAGTAGGATTCAAATTGAAAGCATTTGAATAACAGTGAACACATAATGGTCGAAATGATTTAAAAGACACTATCAGTTTTGTTCAGGTTGCAACAAGGGGCCAAATGTGTAATAAGAGCATTTATTTGTCCAGTAGTTGATTTATTAATCTGGTTGGTGATTAGAGTTACTGTGGTCTTTCTATTATTTGAAACCAGTCCCCTCTAACTTAAATAAATCCCCACAGATCTCCCTAATACATTTTTTTCCCTTTTCAGCCAATGTTCAATATGCCAACAGATTTTTTTTTTTTTTTTTGGTGTGAAATATTAAGACCAAAGATATAATAGTCGTGGATTATACATTACAGTTACAGTTTTTTCTCTAATCCAGTTTGTTTTGATTGGTTTTTAATTTTGAATTTCCTAGTTTTTAATATTATTATTATATTAGTTAAGCATGGTTTTAGTTTAGTTTTCATTAGTTCTAGAACTAGTTTTATTTTTTCATATATGTAGGTCATTGTATATTATAGTATAGATAGTATACTGTAGTAAATATGTAATAAAGACTCAAAAAATTCCACTGCATTTCAGTTTTATTTATTTATAAAAGACATATTTAATTACAGCTGATGTAAACCAATTTGTTTTCATAAAAACTTTTAATTTACAGATAAACTAATAAATATGAGAATGAAAGGTATATACTTACAGTTTTGGGAAACTTTAGTTAATTTTACAAATTATACAGCTCCAGTTAGTTATAGTTTCTCCCTATTATTACAGTTTTAATAAATGTCATCATTTAGCACATTTAAGCTTTTGTTTTTCATTAGTCTTAGTTAAATATAGCAACTGTATCTGGTCCAGCCCACTCTGGTGGACAACTAGGAACCATGAGAAATTCAAAGTCACATTAATCTGTTCTCTTCACCATTCTGATCTGCAGTTTCAACATCTGTAAGTTGTGCAAAAATGCATCAAGTCACTGCCATGTGCTGGGTTGATTCCCCAGTTATATTGCAAGGTATTGAACATATATACTTAATAAAGTGGCCAGGGAGTGGCTGCAGGGGGCAACTACTACAGATAGCTGATGCACCCTACCTGTAAACGCTCCAGGAATTTCCAGACACGGCACTTATCCTCCATGCGCACCACCACCCCGTTGGCAGGGACAGCTGACAGGTGGCATCGCAGAAACTCATGCAGACCTGCCTCTGTCCCGTCTGGACACAGCAGCTTGAGATCCTCCAGCTCTAAATCCAAGGCCCAGGATTCCTGGTTCTTACCTTCATGAATGTGTAAACAAGACTGACTTCAGCCTTTAAAAAAGCTGGAATGTTTTGTTAATAAACATATTGGACAAAATGCAACTTTTATCAAATAACGTTTCAACAGTGCATATTTCCCCGTTGCTATTATTCTTCAAATTTAACCTTCCCATAACCAGACAGATGGCTGGGTGAAAAGAGCTAGGCCACCTTGATGCTGAGTTTCCCCAAGACATCAGCCTAAACCTTCCATGCTCTTCTGACCTCCCCTAATTGGTGCCACCCTAGACCTTTCTGAAGCATATGATGCAGCAAGCTTTGTTAAACAGCTGCAACATTCATGGGGATGGTGCCAAGCTCCTTCTTTTACTCTGTTCCAGCAGAGTCCATGCAGCATGACTGTGATAATAATCACCATTAATTTTGGATGTTGCCCAAAGCAAAGGAGCAGATGCAGCAAGCTGAGAATTACGGTTGCTATTACTGGACAAAAAAAAAAAATGCCTGGGCATCTGTTTGTTATGATATCACTTTTTTGGGGGGGGCTTAATTCCTGTTTTCCCATCCATCTTTTTGTCTTTATAAATCTCATGGGGAGATATATTGATTTGCCTCACTGAATTTCAGTGAAATTTGCACATTTATCCCAGACTGCACAGTTTTAGAAAGCAGAAATACTTTGTGCCACAATGACATCTTCTGTCTAGACTGGGAACTGCAATCCCAGTTGAATACAGACAAACCAACAGCAGTAAATTTCATCACCATCTGTGTATTCTGGAATGTTCAGAAGGAATATTTTTGCACTCACCATCCAAATTATCAAAGACAGTTGTATGTTTGACAAACGCAACATCGCCGAGGTTCTCAGCAACACACCTGAGAGGAAAAAAAGGTACAAACAATATTGTCAAATTTTCTTTAGTCCTGTTTTTCTCTCCTCAGATAGATACAAAAATTTGCTCATATATTATTTTTGGTGCAGAGCTAACAGCATTTATCTTCACCACAGTGAAAATCTCTAGAATAACTTTATTCTGGATTATGTCAACATTTCCTTTAATTAAAGGACTATTACATAGCAGCCCCTTACAAATTAATGCACCTGGTATATTGTAAGTTGAATGTAGCTTCTAGGAATCTCTAATCAATTATTTCAATTTCCCTGAAGAATAAATCTGCTGTTTCACAAATACTCTGTTAGTTACTACTGTAACTTTTTGACAAAAATGTCTTTTTAGGAGTAGTTTTACTGCAACATACTTTTTACTTTCACACATGTAATATCTTAGTAAAATATTGCTACTCTTGAATAAAATGCTTGGCTACCCTATCAACCCTGCGTAGAGCAGACAAGCTTGTTTTTTTCTTTCCAAAAAGTTATCCAGACAAAGACAAACAATGAAAAGTTACACTAATATACAGTAAGGAATAAACATTGTCAGTGAATGTACTTTCAACCAGTGCTTCCCAAAGTGGGGGGCGCACCACCTAGAGGGAGTTCAGTCTAACCACCAATATTTTGATCTGTCTTATTAGATTATTTTAATTGGTTGTGATGACTTGTAAAGTATTTTCATAGCCTTTTCTTAATAGATACTTTTTTAGTCTTACTTGAGTAATTTTCTAAACAACTACAATAAAGTAGTGCTACTGTTAGCTGAGTTCAATAATTGGGTACTATACCCACCTCCTTCTATATGACATGAAAATCAGGGGCTTAAGTCTTTAAGTCACAAGGCATGAAATGGTCCAAAATAGTATCCCCTCAAAATACAAATCAGTAGGGGTGGTAATAAAGGGAAAAAATAATATTTTTAGAGTTCACTGCATTAAAAGGAAACACTTCAGTGTTATAAATGCTGGTTTAGACATGTTGCTTGAAGGGAAAGGCTTTTCTGTGAGGAGCTTGCTAATACAATGTAAAGTTTGGTGGGGGGATTCTGCAATGAGTTTTCCCCATCTTTTTCTAACGATACTGGGAAACTTGTCTGAAGTGTTGGGACTCTTTGGGTAAATGTTATTCTGCCAATGTTGGATAGTTTCTATTATAAAACAGGAAGAGATTATAAAAATCTTGTGGAAAGCCTTGCTTTGTTGAGTACTTCTAATCTATTATTGTCTCCTCTTGAGCAGAAGTATTTCTCTCATAACAGACATTTTTTTCCTACCCTAACCCTTTTTTCCAGGTTGCAGCAGATCTTTCAGAAATGGGTGTTGTGAGTGAGTTTATTCCTGGAAGAGTTCGTGAAGTAGGAGTACCTCAGGGCCCCTGCCTCTCCGTAATGTCTTTCTCTATGGTTGTTGACACAGATGTGTCTGTCGTTCTCGTCTCCTATGCAAGCCTCACAAAGGTTCTTGGGGTTGTTTCCTCTGGGATCATGCAGCGGGTCCTTAATGCCGGGCACACAGCTGTAGCCAAAGAAGTTCCCCACAGCTGGCAGGAGGAATGGAGAACTAGTCAGCAGCAATCACAGAACCTAAGAAATTTGTTTTTCTATCATTTCACCTTCTTTTTTTTAAACCAGAAGGTATTCCTTTTTTTTACTAAAGCGATGGAAAACAACTTCAATTTGAATAAGTGTCCAACAATTCAGCACAAACCCAATAAGTAACACGGCCTGTAAATTATCTTATCTGTTCTTTTACTGTTCTTGAGAGTTTTGGCCCATTTCCACCTCCAGCCCTTCACCGCTCTGCTTCCCCCACTTCCTGCCTCCAGAAATCTCAAATACCTTCCATGCATCAGTGTACACCACCACACACCAGCACACACGGCTTTCACGCTTGGTTTCACCTTTGGGGAAATTGCACTGCTCTCCTACACTGATTTGGGATGTGTTAACCAAGTAGCCGATGGGAACAGTCCAGCCCACTGTGGTACGGATGCCGGGGTGACAGGAGCTGCGTTCATGCATCTCCAGCAAAGAGAGGTCTGAAGAGGAGCGCCGGGCCATTGCCACCACATAGTAGCTGATTCCATCTGGAATAAGGTGTAGGGACAGATGTCAAAACAGAAAACCACTGATACTGTAATCGGACAAAATTTGCTACAAATCAGTAATTGGTAGATGATCAAATTTGTTTGGCTTTATTTGTTAAATGAGCACAAATTATTTTGAATAATCAACTCACTGCATGCACTTTTTTTTGCTGAATATTAAATAGTTTGATGTTATTAATATCGTTTTGGATTTAAAGGGTTCTACCATTCCATTACAAAAACTGTGCACATTATTTCCCTTTCACTTTCAAAGTCTTAAGAATGAATAAAAAATCTGGCCAGTCAGACAGTGAAAACCAAATCAGTGCATTTCTACTAAATGTACATCTTTAAATAAAACCTCTTTTCTAAGTGCTGCATGTTGGCAACATATTTCTTACCGACTCCATTGTGAGACTCCCCTGCTGCGAGCTCTAGACCATAGCAAAGACCAGCAGCGTAGATATCATCTGCAAACATTGAAGCTGCATCCGCTGTGCCGTTCTGTGAAATCACACATTTCATTTAAGTAATCCAAAATTAGTGCTTAAACAGTTTTTAGAAAAGGTGTGAACCGTATGCTGAAAGATGAGAAGCTGAAAAGAAATAACTTTTAAAATCTGTTTTAATACACTACAGTATAAACATTAAAGTGGTTCTTGGATCTTGCACCAGCAGGCATGACATAAGGATAACTTTATCAGGACTGAACATCTTCATGTGTTGAAAATTTGAACCTTCATGATGGCTCTGAGTGTTTTTAAGGTTTCTGGCATGCCTTTAATGAATTAAACTGGGCTAATACTTTTAAATTGCTTCATAACTGTGATTGAAATGTACTTTTAAAACATCTGTAAATATTATTATCAAACATGAGAACTTTACCAAAAATAATTTTAAATGTTATTTCAATACACAGAAAGTCTAGCACATTGATATAAATATGCAACATGCATACACTCAGTGTATTAAAATCAATATTGACAGATTGCATTTTTAATTCATGCAGAAATACCCATCTATTGTCTGTACTAGCTAATCCATGCAGCATCACATAAAAAAAAATCCAAAATATAACTAATAGTAGTAGAAAATGTATATACCTAGGTAAATATGCACATTTATCATATCATTCCATGTATGTTCTTAGTAGTGCCAACAAATGCAATATGTTATAGTGTGTTAAAGTAAGAATACTTTAATAATTACAATATATTGTGCTAGAAATTTTAAATATATTTTTGGAAAAATGCTTCATATTGTTGTTTTTTACTAGAAGAGCTCTGCCAAAATTGATGTTTCTTTTTTCAACTTATTAAGGTTCAATTAACAAAAACAATCAAATAACTGTAACCCTATTCAGTATTTCCGTATACCTTGATTTTTTCCATGCAGTCTCTGGTGTTCTGGCCACGGACGCACAACAGGGACCCCCTCACGTTCTTGGCCGTGGCATTACCGGCTAAATCCAGGCACTTCTGTTCCTCGGCATCCGATAGCACACACCAGGAGACTGACCAGAGAAGATTTTTTCCATGTTAAAGGATGATTACATGAAAATGTTTCTTCCTGTTAACTTTCTTTTCTTTTATTCCCTAGAAACAAAGCCTTCCTCTGATGTACCTGTAGTTTTTTGATGGGAGACACAGTTGACTCTCAGAAGAGGCAGAAAAAGCAGAAAAGCTGCAGTATATCTCTCCATGTCGGCTCTGGTCTAAGACAACCTTCTGAATGATTCTGTTTGTCAGCAGAGGAAAAGACCAGGTGGAATTCATGGGTTAAGAAAAAGTAATTCAGCCCCCTCCCTCTCAAATAACCTTTACAGAGAGAGGAGGTATAAAGTAGGGGAATGGGGAAGGTAGATTGAATGTAGAAAGAAGAAAAAAAATCACATTATTCCTCCATCCTTGACTCTTAAATCGCGGGTTCTCATTAGATAATCCTTTCCTCCGTCTCATGATAGCAGTCTAGCATTTCCCCCTTCAATTATCCACTGAGATTTAAGCTCCATGAAGAGGATTTTGGTGAACTCATGTGGGCATGCAGCAGCTCAGGTCACCTGGCACGGAGTCTTAAGCAGGGCTCTTTAATTAAAAGAAGTAGGGGACAATGTGTCTCTGTGCAGGAGAGGTTGTTCGTGGAGAAAAGATACGGTTGGGTCCTGCTCCGACTCACCGGAGTCTAAAACCCCAAGACAGCAAGAACAAACAGCGTTGGTCGTTGTTCTTGCCCAACAGACCCAGTGAAGGGAATGCATATCATCCACTGGATATAGTTATCCAATTTTTCTACCTTTACAGAAAGCTAATAAACTCTGTCACACATGATAATTTATAAGCATTATTAAAAGACAGTTTTTATTCTCTGTTTATATTTCCTGCAGCTTTAGAGAGATTTTTCATTGCATTTGTCTCTGGAAGTCTGCACATATGAAATAACGTTTACCGATCCTTCTTTACAGAATAAGTTTAGCCCTGCTGGAATTAATGGAGGGCATCTACGAACAATAGTTTTAAAGCCTTGCCACAAATTATGGTCTTGTTAGACCCCCTCCTCAGCTTTTAGAGCACTTAATCATCCTGATAAACTGTTTTATTTTTATTCTCATATCTCAGTTAGCAGCTTTAGTGTGTCTAAAAATTGATTTTTTTTTTTCCGAATTTATGAGCTAATATGTTGAACTCCTAAGGGCTCAATGCTGTGTCCTGTTTTCTTCTACTTAAAGTTCACATCCGTACTTTAGGTCAGGTGATTCAGAGGATTTTGTCAATTAAATATAGGTTCTCTATACACTAGAAAATTAAAATCTAATTACGGTAAGTCAATAAGTGCATTTTTTTTAAATAAGAGAAAACACAACTACAGACTCTTATTTCAAGTGCATAATATATGATAATTTTATTTAAAGGGTAAAAGCACATTAAATTGGCAGATTACATTATTTACTTACTCATGTTTTTTTGTACTCATTTTAGATCATTCTTGCAGTGTTTTGTTTATTTAAGACTGATGTTCACATACTGCAGGGTTTGATTAAGCAGCCCCACAAACGTTAAGTGGTTGTTGAGTAACAACTACGTAAAGCTAAACCCAGACAAATGTAGTTCAAAGCACCATCATGTCTCACCAGACATCACTATGTCATAATTTAAACAGCAGGTGGTTGATTTACGACTCCCACTGAAATGCAAAATCAGAAATGTAAGTTGTTGCTTTTTTTGAAGGTTGCATAATTGCTCTGTTAAATACAACTCACCTTTTCAGTGAACTGTGATAAAAGTCCAACCATAAAATGTACCCGCTGTTCTAGTTGGTGTTCTTAAATTGCAGGTAAAGATCAGAGCAGCACAGTTATATCAAATGTCTCTATGAAGAAACATAAAGCTGACTGCAGCTGCTATTTAACCACCAAAACTTCTCCTAAAAACCTTTTCTGTTTGTTTTTAAATACCTGAATAAATTTTCCTCTTTCACTTTTTTATTTTTGTTCTCAGTTTTTCCTCATTGCTCACTTCTTCTTGTTGGTATTGGGCCTCAGTCTCTTTTATCCGTATCCATCTTCTCTCCCCATCCATTATTTTCCTTTTGTCCATCTAGGAGCAAGAACTGATTCATTTATTAATATTTCACAACAGCACATCTTAACACCATAACCTAAACTGACTGCTTGCTAATTTCCAAATAAGTTTACCTTCACTTAACTCGACGTAGATTATAAACAGTTAGTACTTTTTTCTATAACCATTTCTGACTTGGTTAGTTACCAGTCATTAGTCCAACACTCTCTAAGGATCTGGAGAGATCCTTATCTCAGTATCCTGAGCTGAGTCTCAGGATACTTCCTCTAAATTGTGTGCAATATGAAACTGGAGCTTTTTTATTGGTTAATCTTTATATTATATACCAAGAATTCAGACAAATATAATTTATTCCTTATAATATGTGAAACTAATATTATATTGTAAAATTCTACTTTTTTCTTATCCTTCTTGGTTATGTTTTAACCAGGCTGTGTTTTCTCTTTCAGCCTCCATGTCTGCCTTGGAGTCAGAGGAGGTCATATCATTCAAACTTCCATAGAATCAGGTAGTTTAGCTCTATTGTATAAATGTTTCTTAGACAAGTATTATTAGATCAGTCAACAAGATTAGGAGTGGAAATTCATGCGCTACTATCGATCAAGTTCTTGGGTTCATCTCATTAAATGTATTGAAAGAAAGGATCAAATCAATTATTTTGGATATCACTATCCTATTAAATACAATCCTGCATTAGTAATTTAGGGTTCAATGAGAAATGTATGAAATAACTGCAAACTTTTAAAACTTAATATTTGGTCCAATAAAATCAGCCCCCCTCAGCTGTCTCCTGCTCAGAGCTTTTCTCCCCCCTGTGGTACTCAGCTCTGACCGCTCCTAAGGCTGAAGCAGAAACGATGCACAGTTGCTGTGTCCTCTGACAGGTGCACATATCTCCAAATATTGGATCCTATTCTTTACCAATATATGGATGAACAACTGTTCTAAAATCTGGACTGAAAACAACTGATGCTGGTGTAAACTGTTGGAAAAAGAAAAAGAACTGTTAGTTGCTGTACCTAAAAAAAAGAAGAGAAAAAAAGAACCTACCTGTTACTTACCTGAATATGGAAAAAAAAATGTTACAATAGTTAGAAGTGTTTTATATTTTTATATTTTCATTTCATTGGGTATAATTTGTTGTCTTTATTTCATCCTGTATTTAATTAATTTATTTTATCCCATAGGTTTATTTCCATTTTAAGAGTGGTTCTGTGAAGGGAAAGAAATCCCATTCGCTTACACTGGGCTTCACAGTCTGCCTGCTTGCTGCATGAGGAGCAAATAATGCCATCATCACAGAGGCCAACGTTAACAGGGTGACTGGGGGCCTTGTCATGTTATTTCTTCTACAAAAACAATGATAAATTACACTACTAACAAATGATTTTATTAGGTGTCAAAGTGGGATTTACAGATAAAATAATGAATAAAAAAATATATATATAGATTGACGAGAAAGGTAATGGTGGGCAGGGGACAAAAGGGGCTGGTGCTCAACCCCCCTCCGCTCATACGCTTGGGCAAAACTCTTGTTGGTGACTTGTTGGTGATTAGAGGGAACCATGGTGCCAAATATGTCACACCTTCGCTTTTATCAGCTTACACAGAAATAGCTGTGTCTGCATAAATAGCTTACCTTCTTCAGTGTGTGAAGGTGTGTCTGAAGGACTAAATGTAGAGCAGTGGGGCCCTAAGGGCTAAAAGGCTGCAAGTGCAGGTCATTCAGCAGTATCTATTTATAAAACTTTATCTATAAAGGAGTTCAAATAAACACAGAGGCCAATGACATAAAAACTGGCACAGAGCTTTCCTGCTTAACAGTCACAATCAAAGACAGAGGTAATTTATTGTTACATTTTCTAACATAGAAAGTATATATGAATCTATGCTCCTCTTGTATCTCTGCTTCTCTTATCTTGAGTCCCCACACTAAGTCTGATTCTGCAGGAGGTTTCCTCCTGTTAAAAGGGAGTATTTCCTCTCCACTGTCACTGGATGCATGCTCAGTGTGAGGGATTGCTGTAGAGTCAACGACAAAATGCAAGATACTGTCTCTCAAGGAGGAGCAAATACTGCAAGTCAAAGACTCAATGCAATCAGCTGCTTTTCTTAAGATAGAAACTTTTTTTCAGATCAGACTGTATGATCTGATTTAATTGTCTCTATAAAGTGCCTTGAGGTGACATGCTAATTGGTGTTTTAAAAATGAACTGAACTAAAATTGAATTGAAAGTTCTGTATGGATGAATTACACCTAACTTTAGGAGAACTGATAAAAATCCAGAAGCATATCAAAGGAGAATAGATGGACGTAAAACCACATAAGGTCAGCATAAAACCAACACTCCGAATAGTAAAGCCAGAGCCTAATGACCAGTATCAGATTACTCCAGATTTTTGGCTATAGAGAGGATCGGATAAAGAACTAAACATTAGCTGAGCTAAGAAAACTGGGTGGAACGTAGGGCTGTAAAATCTCTTAGATGTAGAGCGGTGAGAAGCCATTCAAAGGCTTTAAAATAAATAAAAGAATCTTTGTATGAGGGAGTAAAGTTAAGTTTTTGTTCCACTTTCTTTCTATGAAGACCTCCATGAAGGTCAGATTTGTGGATTGGACAATTTATCGTCATCTTTTCAGCTAATGGACTGAACAGTGCTGTGGATTATTAGTTTGGAATATTGTTTGATGAGCTTACACCTTATAAGCTGAGCAGTTTGCTGTGTCCTTTCATTTTTATGATGCAGATTGTTCTTTAAATGTTCTCCAAAAACAAAGTCTGAGGACTTCTTACAATTGCTGCATTTATAATGACATTTAATCAAATACAGGCAGATTCTGTTTCCTGATTCGACCAATTCTGGATAAACTGGGATTAATTTACAGGTTCCAGTTTCAGAAGGAGTTGAAATTGTACTACAGTGATGGCAAAGTGTTTTCTTTAGATTTCTACTCTAGAGTAACATTACCTGAAAAATGCAATTAAAAAATGGTGTCATATGATTTTTCCTTGTATTTTTTTGTGTATATTTTATTGAATTAACATTATAATGTAAAAAATGTAAACTGAACTTAAGCAAAATGTTTGAGAACAAGTACCAATGTTAATGATGTAATCAGTTGAGTGAGTCCTACATAATTCACCGCTGCACAGCAATGTTGATTGCAAACATATTGTGATATTTTGTATTATGACTAAAATATCCAACACTATATTTTTTCCGGGATGTGACCATTCTTGGTTTTCCCCGGACACAGAAATTCAGAAATACATTGCCTTTCATGCACTTATGTATTTTTTTTTTCAACCTTCAGGGATTCTATTTGTTGAGTTAAAAATAATACCTCATGCCTTTAGGTGTTATTTTATGCTCACACTGGATAATGTTTGATTTTGTCACAATCTGATATTATTGAATTTTTTATATTATTGATTTTTTTCCTTCCTTACTTTTTTGTGTGTTTATTTGTTTTTAACAGGAATTGTTTAAAATAAATTTCTTTATGTATTGCCATGGTCTTAGCATCATCTATATTTGGGTACAAATACAGTAACTGGTGATAAATTACACTTAAATTTCATCTGAATTATAAAATAAGGTCAACAGACCATTGTTGAGCCATTGTTGAATTAAATAGTTGAAACTTGACATAAAAGCAGAAAACGTCCCTAAATCATAATCCTTATATGTCTAAACCTAACATGAAAGGAAAACCCCTGATGAGGATTCCTACCCTTATTCTGCATTTGGATACATGAGATCAGTTTCTTCTTCCTCATGGCTTTACCTATTCAGTGATATTACATCTTATCTGATGTTTTCATTCTCACTGGGAGGTGAACTAACATTGCTGCCACCTATAGCCCAGGACAAAATTACCTGCATTGATGAGAGGACATTCTTGAGCACAATAGGACGTATCTTCAAAAGAGTAAAACCTTGCTTTGGAAAAAGAAATAGAAGTTTGTTGCATTCATAGATTTGATTTAAGAAATTGAATAATAAGTATGGAATTAACATTGATGAAGCTGTGCAGGTTATGGACTCCAAAAGATCCATTGATCAGAGTTTAGTGACCAAACAAAGCGTTTATCCAAACTGGTCACATACAGCTTTACAGAAAATTAATCAAACATTGACAAGTCTCTAAAGATCCGTGAAACTATATACCCAGAGGACCATGAAAGACATTATAAGAAGTATGATAAGACGTATGAACTATTACCAGGGCCGCCCGACAGACAAAACTCCACCCCCTCATTAAAACAGAAGAACATATAATAAAACAGCCTAAATGAAGTGAGACTAAAAATTAAAGTCACTGAATACATAAAGTAGCCTTACTAAATGAAAGTGTCACAAAATAATACTACATTAGGAAATAAATAAATGATAACATAAATAAATCTAATAAAAATCGAATAAAAAAATTCTAGAAATACAATCAAATAAAACTAGATCAAACCTATTTCAACATATTTATTTTGTTTTGTTTCATGGGGATACTCATTTATTAAAAGGAACTTTTATTGACAATTTATCAATAGCAGTATCTATGTACTAACTGAATATTGAATGAAATGGGTCTCCATATATACGCATAACTTCTGTCAAACAAAAAAAGAGGTGGTTATTTGGTCTGGTTTGTTCCAGATGTAACACCTTTGGAAAGCAGGAAAAACTCTAAAAGGTTAAGCCGAGAAAAACAATCCGGATCAATGAAAACATATTTTTCTGAAAAACAGTTAACTGATGTTTAAATGTTATTTCAGTTTAATATGGGAAAAAGTCAGTATTCTGACTTTTTTCTCAGAATTCTGACTTTTTTCCCATATTAAACTGAAATAAAATTTAAAAATCAATTAACTTTTTTTTTTTTTTTTTTTTTAGTTTTTTAGCGGCCCTAATCCTCTTCCGTATATTTCTTTGTATGGAGATAGACAATCAGTATTCGATTGATCTAATGTTGCAAACAGCGCCATCTTGTCTTCAGAAGGTGTCGGAGGACTCTGCTGCCCCACAATGCTTAGCGGTGCTAATGTTTTGGTGACGTCTGGAGAGGAAAACAGCCAGTGAGTGGGCTGGGCTGGATCCCTGCTTTCGGTTATTTTACACTCCGAATAACGCTGCTATGAATAAATGAGCCTCCATTGTGGATATTTGGATATCCGAGAATGAGCTAGAAGCCGTATCTTTGCCAGGTAAATGGCTGTTTTCCTCATTCATGTCACGCTGTCAAAGTTAGCCTCTGTGCCCCACAGATAGCTTAGCTCAATTGGCTAACAGCCTGTCTGACTGGCGCCTCTCAGGCGGCTGTAGAAGGACAATAAAGCCGCCTGTGATCGGGTCCAGCTAACCAGCAGGGCTCCATCTTCTGAATTTAACCCTTACAAAACATATCGGTTGCATGTTTTTTCAGTCTGAAGATTTTAATATTAAAATGAATGCGCTGGTTTCCAATGAGAGAATATTGATGTCTTCTGTGATGCACTGATTGCGGAGAAACAGCTAAAGTGTCTCTAAAAAAACGCTATTTGGTTCAAACGGCTTCTATATAAACAGCACGACCTTTTTAAGAAGTTATCTTAAGAAAACCCTCTTTAAAACGAGTAACTCTGCGTCTGTATATTAGTAAAGAGGTTTGATGCAGGGGCGATGCTAGAGTCTGTAAACAAAGGGGGCTTAGCCCAGTTTGAGATGAGGTATGAAAAATCCCTTTATTGTTCCACAATGTGGAAATTCTGGTCTTATAGCAGCAAAAAGATTACAGAAAAAATGGTCCCATAAATGTGGACCTTAGAAAAATATATAAAAATAAACAAAATACTGTACTGTAAAGTGTTTTAACAATGTAAATACTGTGCACCTGGAGAATAAATAACCAATATATAGTATTTGAAATTTTTACTAATGGATATTTGAGAATAGCAGCAAAATCAGTTAAATGACTAAGATAGAAACTGTGCAAAAATCAGCCTGAATGTAACAATTTATTGAGGTTGTTGGGGACAGTGATGGTTATAAAGTCTTGCAGCTGCTGGGAGGAAGGATCTGTGATAACGCTCCCTGGTGCATTTAGGGTGCAGCAGTCTGTCACTCAAGTAGTATGCTAGCAAACATTTTTAAAATAGCCGTGTTACAACATTTTGATGTGAAAGATAATTTTCAAAAGTGTGTTAGTTAAAAGTAAAAAAATAACTGTAAAAAAGACTACATTTAAAGCTTGTTGGTTGGCACTGCTGATCCAGTCTGCCGCACTGCTCCTTATGCAACAAGTATTTATTACAGCAATGTCCACAAAGTGAGGCAGCACTGTCAGATGCAACCTGCTCCTCTTTCTTTATGAGAAAGAAGATCCAATCAGCTGGTCAAAACAAATGTTCTCCATCTTATTTGTTTGCAAATAGGAATCAAAAAATAGATATGCAATGTTGTGTTGATGGTAATAAAAGGGTTAAACACAAGTAACAACTGATATTTGATATGATGTCAAAAATGTTAAGGTAAATTGAACATACTTTTGTTTACTGGTCAAAGCTTAAACATAAATAAGATGAGTTTTAATAAAATGTGTGTGTGTGGGGGGGGTGGATAAATGGATAACAAATTGAGTGTATTTGTCAGTTGAAGGTACGTCTGTTTCTGTTATGGAAGTTAAAAGTCTAGACATTATGCTTACTGCTAATGAGCTGATTGCAGGCTCTCACTGAGCAGGTAACCTGGTTAATTAACCAGTCTGCATCCATTTTTGTTGTACCTACGGTACTTTATGGAGAGCAGAACAAGGAAAAATATTCTGACAAGATTCAAGCTTATAAGAAGGTGATAAATACGCCCAAATAAATCACATGAAGTTGTGTTCCAGTTTTAGATAGTGGCATCTATTGTTCTTCATTTCTTAATTTGTTTTATTACGATTAGTCTGTAACAAAACTACAAGCTCTGGTGTTTTCCCTATCAAAGCAAAGTTTTCCCTTAAAAGTGATTAAAGGAACCTGAGTCAGAAAACTGCACCTGGAAATGGTTTTTGATGCAGTTAAAATCTAAATTAAAATGAACTTGCTTAGTGGGATAAACTCAACTCTGCTGTAAACATTGCAGAACTGCTGCACATTTTGCAGCTGTTCATTATTCAATGCCAAGCAAGTCTAAATATTTAGTTGATGAATAAATAAATGTTAATGATGTGATATTAACATAACTTTTTTTTTTATGACTCCGGATCTCTCACCCTTCCTCTTGTCCAGAATCGGATGCCTCTGTCTGTCCTCTTCTCTGCTTCTCCTGTTCTCAATTTTCTCTCAGATCCCAGTTTAGATTAAAAAAAGGCAAAATCTAAAAACAACATGGGGAAAATTTTCAATTGACAAGAACTTGGATCAGATTTTCAGGTTTAAATTGTTTGCAGCCAGGCCTCCTGGCACCTTTTAATTTGAACAAAAAAAACCTGCTTTCTCTGAACCTGGAAGAGTTACTGGGGTTAAAAACGGTTCCTTTATTTCTGCTATTTATGATCATTAGGAAAACAAACAAGAGGGAGGTAAACATGATTATCTGCTTTGTGCCTGTGTACTCATTGACCTCTCTGTCTCTGGCACCTCTTCCTCTGTTTTGTTAGCACAGGGAAACATGGGTCCTGGCAGTTTCCACGTCCTTCTGCTGCTCCTTCTGCAGGCACTGCAGGCATCAGCCGAGGACTCAGGTACCTTTTTATACACTCCAAACTATAGAGACCTCCAGTTGATGTTGTGTAACTGAAGTTTTTAACATTTTGTCTTATGAAAGCATTCTTTCTTAATGCATTTTATCATGATTTTATGGGATAATCTGACTCAGAGAGGCACTTAATAATTAAAAGAGAGAAAAATAAAACATGTTTTCATTAATAAAAACGTTCGGGATTTATGCAGGGTTAGTTTTTTGCTCTTTTCAATCCAAACTGCCCTTTGACGACTAGCTTTGAGTAAGACTGGTTGGAACTCAGTAGAATATCATTGGATGGGGATGTTATGACAAATCTTTTATGATTTTTAAAAAAAATTTTACGTGTTATTGTTTTTTTCCTCTTAGCTAATAAAGCTATTTATTTTACATTTTAATGTTTTGCTTTGTGACCTGGTTGCTGTGATGTTGCAGCAGCTCTCCCCATCCAGTTGTAGCCAAAGATAACATTGTTTATATGAAAGCATGTGATCCAATGGGTCTAGTCAAAGTTCAGCCATAAATCCAATAGAAAATCTATAGAAATATAATGTTGTTTTCAGAACCTAACTGGTGACAGATGGTGGTAACACTGGATTTCAACCTTACCAGGGGTGTCCAGCTCAGGTTCTCTGTAGCCTTCATGCTTTCACTGTTTCCCTGTCCAACATAAAGACATTATTATTAGTCACCCTTTGTTTATGGAGAGACCTTAATATGAACCATTTATTTAATTTAATGTGATCTTTCGGACGGTACAATTGTTGGTGTTTCCACACAAGGTCCCAGTGAAGTTTCCAAAACGCGTTTTTAAAGTAACAAAATTTGAAAACTGTAAGATTTAATGACCCATTATTCCTGCAGAATGGTGTAAAGAACCTCAGGGGTGGAAATTAGAAACAGTTAAGGGCCAAATGCAGTGGTGGATAGAAAAAGAACATTGTTACATTTTTACAACTGACCTGTATTTAATTAATTCTTAATATTCAAAGAAAAAAGATTTATACTTTCACATTTTTTTTTGTCTATATCTTCATGTCAAGCAACAAATACAGGTAAGAGAGAAAGAGCAGAGTCAAAATGGGGGAAGGAAAATGATTAGCAGTTTCGCTGTCAACATGTGTTTCCTACATCGAATTAGACATTAAGATATTATATTTACAAAATATATAAAGAAAGCAGGTGACAAAGGGGTTTAATGATACACATAAACAGTACTGTTTTATAAACAACTGGCTATTTTCCTTCCTTCGTCTTTGCTGTAAAACATGCATTAAAAAGAAAAGGAAAGAAGTAAATAACAATAAAAAAAAATAAAAAAAACTGAATATAGCAATCAACCCCAAGAAATAAGTGGCAGTACCTAGATTTTAATACACACTTAAACAAATGAAGTAAAAACAGCCTCAGTTGACTGAACAACAGGCTTTACATTTCTTTAACTTGTAGTTGATAGTCTCTCCACATGTATAAACTTATTTCATCACACCTAAGGAGGAATGGCGGCTTCTCTGTTTCCCCTCATAACGTTGGTACAATCCTTAATCGTTGGAGGATCCTTTGTCAACCACCTTCTTTAAGTGCTTCCTTACTCACCAGTACACCAGTAGATTTTGACCTTCCTGAGTTTCTACTAGTCTTCCCACCATTATTAGTAGAGAAGAGAAACTGAACAGCAACTGTACCTCGTTGTAATGCTTCCTTTCCTTGTTTTTCTGCTTGTGTTCAATACACAGCGCTTTGTTTCCGCTTTGGCTGGGGTTAAAATGCTTTATAGATAAAGTTGAGGATGATAATGATGATAAACTCAAGGGATGCTCATGAAATAGTGCGTACTTTATACTGTGGACGTCTGTGTGTTAATAAGGCGGATTAGAGGCCGATTTATGATTTAGCGTGCAGAATGTGTCCGACACAGTGCTTACAAGATTTTATATTCCATATAAATCCATTCACCAACTCTAAGAGGGGGTGTACCACAGAGACCGCTAGCTTGCAACACCAGGCTGCAACTTCACAGACACCCAGTGTCCCACTACAAACTGCTCTGTGGGGAGACGCCATCACATTGAACAGCTTTGTGACACTTAGTGGTTCCTAGATGCCAGTTGTGGGATGCTATGTAACTACAGGTGTGTGACGGGTGCTTGGTGGAGCTCTGTGCTACCTATGAGGCTACACCATAACATAATATCATATTTCTGTTCAAATCGACAGACTACTGACCTCAGGGCTTTTGGAATAACTTTCACTTTAAAGATGAACATTTTCCCGAGGTTATTAAGGCAAAAGGAGATTTTCTAAATTGTATTCAGTCAGCAAATGTCAGCAAAACAATTTCTATGTTCGGCTATATCCAAAAATGCAAAGTTTCGCAATTGCTGTATTTCCGTAAAAAAAAAAATACAATATAAACTGCACACGAATGTTCACGTGATAAACTCATGGAATATAGTTATATTTCAGCCACGACTCTGATGGGCAGCATCATCCTCGAACTGCTTCTGGTCTTCCTCGTCTTTTTAATACGCAGTAAGGTTCAGCTGCAGGTTATGTGACTCGTTTGATGTGAAAAAAAGTCTTTCCATTGCAGTTGTGCGAAAAATAACAATTGAGATCCAACAGAAAAACCACCTTTAGGTGTAAAAACCTTTTGTCTTTACAAATTGCAGTTTTTCCATTTAGCATATTTATTGTTATAATTACAGTTTGTGCAAATTGATAGTTAATGGAATCACAGCCTGTGATGTAGATTAACTCTACATAGAATTGCAGTTAATTAGTGGCTGGTTCTAAAGAAAATGATGAATTTCCAGCCCTGTTAGAGTTGTTAACTTCTGTTTAAGTTTGAAGTTTGAACACAGTATTCATCCTAAACTCTGCCACTGTTTGATGCTCCAAATTACTTGGGTTCTCTCCTTATGCGTTGGTCCCAACGGCCTGTGTTTTACAGATGTTCAACTGGAGTGTCTTTGTGAGGGAAGCACATGTTCCGAGGCCACCCGATGTCACGGCGCCCGCTGCTTCTCCTCGCTTATAAAGGACAGCAGAGGGATGGTGTTGGAACGAGGCTGTTTTGAGGGGGAGGAGAAGATCCGCATGCATTGCTCCACAACTCCATCAGCCCTTCAGGTCATCAACTGCTGCTCCCAGGTCCTGTGCAACGCAAACACCACGAGGGCGTCCCTCGAGTCACTTCTTCCATCAGGTAAGAATTAGACTGTACAGTAGAATGAGAACTTACAGACGGATCCATTAATTTTTCTGTTTTGCCCACAGCCCCTGAGGAGAAACCTGTCCGGTATCAGGTGGAGACGTTGGCTCTGTTTGTGCTCGCCCCGGTGGTTGTTCTCGTTCTGCTCTCTGTGGTGTCAATTCTGGCCTGTAGGAGGCTCCATCATGGCCGCCTCCAGAGGCTGCAAGAGTTCGACACGGAGCAGGGAGACGGTCTCATCACCTCCAATTTGGGAGATGGCACTTTAGCTGTAAGAGTTTTGTGGTGGTTTGTTTTTATTCCTTTTTTTTTTTTTCGGATTTATTCTAGTTCCCAGAATGAACGTCTACCCCTTTTTTTTTCTCCTGCAGGACCTTTTGGATCACTCGTGCACATCAGGCAGTGGTTCAGGTCTTCCTTTCCTAGTCCAGAGAACAGTAGCCAGGCAGATAAGTCTGGTGGAGTGTGTCGGTGAGCGGCTTTTTTTGTTATTAGTTCCAGCTGTTTAATGAACAGAGTCACTAAATGAGTAAAAATATCCTCTGTTTCAGGTAAAGGGCGTTACGGAGAAGTCTGGCGAGGTCAGTGGCAAGGAGAAAATGTTGCTGTGAAAATCTTTTCCTCTAGAGACGAAAAGTCTTGGTTCAGAGAGACGGAGATCTACAACACTGTGCTGTTGCGTCATGACAACATTCTGGGTGAGTTAACTTTTACTCTCGCAGCAAAATCACATAATAAATGAACCAATCGCTTATGGGTTGGTTTTTGTTGTTTGGTTTTTATTTATGACAGGATTTATGGCGTCTGACATGACGTCTCGAAACTCCAGCACTCAGCTGTGGCTCATCACCGAATACCATGAAAACGGTTCGCTCTACGACTACCTGCAGCGAGTGGCGGTGGAGACATCGGAGGGCCTGGCGATGGCGGCGTCGGTAGCCAACGGCCTGGTGCACCTGCACACAGAGATCTTTGGCACTGAGGGCAAACCGGCCATCGCACACCGAGACCTAAAAACCAAGAACATCCTGGTGACCAAGGAGCTGCGCTGCTGCATTGCAGACCTTGGTTAGTTCAGCTGCCAAATAATTTACACACCAAGTATTTAGATCAATTACTATAATAATTACACATCATTTTTGTTATTAATAATATTAGCAGTAAAATCAACTCCAAATAGTGCATTAATAAATTATAGACACAGGCTTCCATTTCCTGCATTTTATAAGTTCCCTGTTGTGCCGGTCGTTACAGGGCTGGCTGTGACCCACACCCAGGCTGACAACCTGCTGGATGTGGGCAACAATCCGAAGGTTGGCACCAAACGTTACATGGCGCCCGAAGTGCTGGATGAAACCATTCAAACCGACTGCTTCGACGCTTACAAACGGGTCGACATATGGGCCTTTGGACTGGTGCTGTGGGAGATAGCGAGGCGCACCTACAGCAACGGTGAGCACCGTGTGTGCAGCTCGGTACTCTAATGATGCTTTTGTTGCAGCTTCTGTACAAACTAATATAAGTTTTGATTTCTAAGACAAAATTAGTTTTTTTTTGTTCTCAGCATTTCTATAATTTGACTTTGGACTTTCTCTTTTATTTTTTCCAACCATGCAGGCATCGTGGAGGAGTACAAACCCCCCTTCTACGATCAGGTGCCAAACGACCCCAGTTTCGAGGACATGAGGAAAGTGGTGTGCGTGGAGCAGCAGAGGCCTTTCATCCCTAATCGCTGGTTTTCAGACCCTGTAAGTACAAAGTCGTTAGAAACTATTTTTAAGCTGCATCTAATTTTGTTCATGTTTAGAGCTGCCACTAACGACTAATCTTTTGACCATTTTTTTCATTTGTCGACTAATCTTAATGACTAATTTCCCAAAAAAAAAAAACCACTGCTGGGGCTTGGCAGAGTAGCCGTGGGATGATGACGGCAAGTAAAAGAAAAAAGTTACATTCACACTGTGTGTGTGCGTGTGCTCATTCAATAAGACCTCTGTATCTCGCACAAAATTACTATAAATGCTCGTGCATAGCGTTGTTCCAAAACATTAGCAAAGATTCTTAACATCCAAAGACAGTCTGTCGTCATACTTTACAAGATTTATAAGAATGGACATGCTAACTAGCTGTTGAAACTAGGGCTGGGTAAAAAAATCGATTTAATCGATTTTGAATTGATTCTTTTACATTTTTGCAAAATTGATGTCTAGGGAATAGGTTGAATGACAACATTAACAAATCGGGGCTGACCAGCAAACACCCTGTAGTTGTTAAAGACAAATATGGTTTGAGCAGTGGAGATAATGCAGCTCCTGCATGTCTGCTGTGTCCCCGCTGTGTCACGTCTGCTTGCTCGAGTGAGGCTTCACTTTTCCACTTTTCACAGACAAGTTTGCACTTTTGAGACAATTTTGTTCATCTCAAGTTTAACTGTCCAATTTACAGTTTAGACTTTGTGTTTAAAATGACAGGAAAATTAAAATGCATGAGTATTTTGAAACACAGTTGAACCACTTTCATTATTGTAAAAACAGATCGAATCGAAATTAATCGATTTAGAACTGTATGAATAAAAATCGAATCGATTCAGGACTTTGGCCAAAATAACCAGCCCTAGTTGAAACAGTAATAGTGAAATCATCAGAAGCGTCCTCAACAACTCCTGTGTGTTTCCTTTTAAAGTGCTCATGCATTGCGCTGGTGCTCCAGTGATAAGCCAACGAAGACTTACAGATTGTACAGACCAGTCTATCCCCAGCGGCCGAACGTATCTCCATACTTTGGATACTTTCGGTATTCTAGCAGATGCCTACGTCCTCGATTCACACCCACAAGCCATTGCCATTTTCGTATCACGCTCAAAAACCCGAACGCAGATTAACAGAAGCTCGTGACAGGAGATGAAAAGGGAGGCAGTTTGCCAGCGGTGTGCGCACAGAACACACTAGTGCTGTGGAGCGGAATTACCTGATCATAGATGAGCTGTTTTCTCAGGCCGAAATAAATAAGCGATAAAAAGCTGACAAAAAATAGTCATTGATGGAAAAAAAAATATCCCTTGACGATGCAATTAGAGCATAATTTGCATTGGCAATTTAACCTGTTTCTCTTTCATTTTTGTATTATTTTGTTATATGAAAAAGAAAAAAATATATATGTGATTATCTTAAAAATTACAACTGAAGATGGGTTTCAAAAAAAAAAAAAAAAAAAAAACACTGGATTTTGTTTTCCAAGTTTGAGACTTTTCGCTTTTCACCCAGGAAGCTTTTTCAATTCAAAATGTCTGAATTAGCGTTGAGTTCCAAGCTGCAGACATTTTTTATTGAAAAGGATTCCTGGATGGGAAGTAAAATGTCCTCAAACTTGGAAAACAAAGTCCAATGGATGAATTTGTACCTTTTTTGGAATGACTTTGACCTGGAGGACTGAGAATCTTCAGCAGCATACAACTGAAGATAGGGTAAACTAAAACAACTGTGACCTCTTTGGTGTTATTTCAAGAACAGTACATTTACTAATTACTGTTGTGGTTTTTTCATGGCTGTTAAACCATGACACCAAACACAAATGCTACAGGTTTACAAGAGACATTGTTCTCACAATCTATATTCATTGGAGGTTTCTGTGGCTCTACAGTCAGTTTCAGCTTTATTTTTGTACCAGGTTTGAATCCCGACCTGTGAAACTTTGCTGCATATCTTTCCTTTATCTCCACCACATTTCCTGTCCCACCCCTTTCAAAATAAAGACCACTAGAACCAAAAAGACCATGAAAAATATGCTAGAGCTCCCATCTGGTCATTTTATACTTAACACAATTTATACAAGTCGATAAAGAATTTAACTTTACCGTTTTGCTCAGACTAGCACAAAGGAAACTATTTTATTGAGATATTCTGAATAACTTTAGTTAAAACCAAATTCAATTGATATTTTGTACCTATGTACTGCTAGCCAAGGTTAAATAGATATGAAATAAAATAAAGGCACAGAATAAGAAGATATATTTAATGCAACCTGATTTAATAATGTAGGATTAAATCCAGTGTACTTTCTCTGCTACTGGGCACAGCTAACAGCATGAATCATTTTCTGTTAATCGATTGATAAAAATTCTATTATGACCTACTGGTCTGGCTGTTTCCTCCTCCAATCCAATGCCAAGGCTTTTATTTGATGGCTTAATAAGTAGATTTTGCATTTTAACCTCCACCATCTGGCCTGTTTATAATATAATAATGTTTATATAGCTTTTCTTTGAGTGGAAAGCCTTAATGAACAGTTAGATTAGATGATAAGTTGTGCAGTATTAGCTCTTTTCTTTTAGCTGAAAGCTTCACTAAAGACATTGATCGTTGAGTTTCTAACATGTTTTTTTCCTCTCAGACACTCTCTGCTCTGGTTAAACTGATGAAGGAGTGTTGGTACCAGAACCCCTCAGCCAGACTCACAGCATTACGCATCAAGAAGACCCTTGACAAGATCCACAGCTCCCTGGAGAAGGGCAAGGAGTCATGAAACAGAGGCGCCTGCATGACGTCAGAGAGCGACTTCAACATGAGCTTGGGTTTAGTTGAAACAAGAGAAAATCTGAAGGATGGATGGGAACGTTTCTGCCCTTCTCTTACCCTTCCTTATCTGTGGTTGCCTTCCACCAACATCCCTCCGTTTGACTTAAAGCCCATACAGACGTTTGGAGTCGTCTCGTCTACAAAAAGCAGCAGAGGCTGCAGGACTGAGCAAGTTGCCATTGTTGGACTGTTACAGAGTGTGAGCGGTTGGCATATTATAGCACCCAATCACACTGCTTTCAATGCACATTTATAGACGGCCATGGGTTGGGCCCTCCTACACACCAAACACTACATACCGAGTGAATCCTTGCTGTTCAGTATCTGATCTCCAGCCAGCATTTCTTTTTATTTATTTATTTTTTTTGGGGCATGCGAATGTGGCATTCTGCTCAGAGACAATCAGATTGACTTCACTCATTTAGCTTTATTATAACAAGCCAACAAATATTCAACATCTTCACTTATTAAAGGAAGAAGAGCCAATAGAATCAAACTCTTTAGTCCTTTTTAAAAAAAAACAAAAGGAAAAAAAAGATATTTATGTATTGAACCTCCACTGTTACCGCACTACTGAGGACCTATGTAAGACTGATGTTTGATATGTGCAAGTGATTGTAAACGTATATTAATGCTATCGGACTGTAACCGTTGCTACAAAGTAGGAATCTGTTGAGAAAATGAAGGAAAAAGGTTTAACCTTTATGTTGAAAACCAGGACGACACACAGAGGTTTAAATGACCAGGCTGATTGGGATGAATGTGAGATTTTAATAGGAGACTCTTAATGGTTTTTCTGAATCGCTCTGTTGATGATGGAATGATCAGACAACACACGACTTCATATATTTTTAGGAACCAAATTTAAGTGTTTGATTTTCTCTTCTCCACACAGGCTCAAATGTATCCATCCAGCATAAGGGGGAAAATACTCCTGCAAGCTGCACTTTGAACACTTCATATTGTATGGATGATTTGTTTAAATTGTTTTTTTTTCCCTGTCAGAGAGACGGCGCGCAGGCAGAGTCCTTCTAGTTTAATTAAGGTTGATCTGGGCCATTCAAAAGCAATGCCTGATTTATTCATCTAAAAAACATTTCTTCATAAGGAATTGAGCTTCGTTTTTTTTTTATACTTGGAGACATTTTAGTCAATGATGAACTTTTTTTTTTTTTGTTCTTAATGACTAGTGATGTCCCAATCTGATATCAACATTGGATGTCAGTCCAATATAGTCCAAAAACACTAATACCAGACTATGTTAGCCTGTATCAAAAATCTCTGACAGTTGACTATAGAAACACTACCCTCATGTTTAGTTAATGTAACATATAGTTAGAATCTCTGATCTTGTTTTACACAACAAAGTGTGTAATTAAAATATGATTGGTGCTGATATTGTGTCGGTTAATATGGTCTATACTAAAAGCTGCAATAATGGTATCATATAGAAAATGAAATAGTTGTATTGGGACATCCCTATTCATAAGTCAGGGGTTTGATAAAGGTCAGTGACCTCTTATGTGGTCAGACTAATATCAAGTTCCTGGACATGCAGAAATCAATCAACTAATTTAAATATGTTCTATATCTTTCTAAAAACAGGCTCAAATATATTTAACTGGTCTTTGCCTGAATCTGGCAATGGATTGAAAAAGCATGAGATCATGTGCTTAAAGGCATCCGTGCAAACATTTTATGTTGGAGAGACAGAGCCTGAATGCCTGGTACTTATTTCACCAACATTCACTGCAGTAAACAGTTCCTTGTGAAACTCTCATCACATACGGCTGACAACGCAATAATCATACATTTGTTTTTATATCGTGGATGTATATTTATATTGGAGCATGCATGTATACTTTTGACTGCGCGTGGATTAGAGAAAAGAGAATCTAAACATCATCTTTCTGCCCTATAAATAAAATAAAAAATAAATCCACCCAGGCAAAAAAAAAAAAAGGTATAGGTGCTAATGTTTTAATGAAGAATCTCCATCGCGCCCTGCTTTGCATACTTGATTAGCTTTGGGAAACGCTTCCCCTTTATCAGAGAGGAATAGACCGATCCACGGTCGTTTGATCGGTTCTTTCGTTTTCCTGACAGCAGCTAAACTTTAAAGTAGCCTCGGGGTCGTCTTGTCCTCAGCAATGCCTCGCTGTAGAAACAGGAAGGAAAGGATTCACTCCATGTTCATTAAACACTGTTTTATTTCATACTGGTTCAAATCAAAACGTGGCCTAGGTGTACAAAGAAATAAGCTCACAAGTGCTGGCTTTGTTTTGAGGAAAAAAATTAATGCTCTGTCTTTTTTTATATGTAATAAAATATTTACTGCACTCTTGCCTTACGATTAACGGTTTATTGTGATTTTAGTGTCTATAAACTTTTATCTTTTTTCATTGCAGTTCTTCTCAGATTTATATTCAAACCACCCCCTCAATCTGAAGTCATTTTTCTTATCTTCCCTAAACTGAAGGGAGCACATGTATGCACCTTTATCTTATGTTGATCCATGCACTGGTGTATCATTATTGCCCTCTAGTGGATACATTAGGTTTACACTAAGATGCGTCAGGATGATTCACTTTTCAGAGCAACACTGCAGTCTGTCATGTGCTTTTTCAAACAATCCTTAACTCAGGATCTAAAACCAGAGGCAACCCGGGTGGATAAAGTCACTTTAAGAACTCTGCAAAGATCTTAAAGTCACTTCAGATGGTCTGGTAAAGTCTTATACGGGTTCAGGATGCCTCTGGGGTCCAGCAACATCTTGATGTCACCCATTAGTTCTACAGCAGACCTTGATTTACTATAGTAGATATAATTTCTCTTTTTTAGGCCCAGTCCATGTTCTGCACTGATGCTGCCGTGAAACTTGGCCGTCCATTCGTAGACGAATGGCTCAATGGAGGCAAGCAGGGCTGGATCCTTAGCAGGGGAGGTGATGTTAAGGTGAAGGTTACCGTCACCTATGAAAGAGAGAGATAGAGGGTGAAAGTAGGACAGAAGACCTCCCGACTGACTCGTCATCAATATGCAGTCTTACCTACGTGTCCGTATCCCACCACACTTCTGGCCCGGTTTCCCAGATGCTGCCTCATGTCTGTGACCAGCTGGTAGATCCGCTCCACCGGAAGGGAGATGTCGTACTTGTAGGTGAAGCCATCGTGAGTCAGCGCCTCTGTGACACGTTCACGCATTGACCACAGCGCCTGGAGCGGAGGAAATGGAAAGTCTGATCTCGTCATTGGCATTCAGCTCTTGCAGTCTCGAAACTAATGTTCTGAAACGAGCAGCAGGAAACACAGCTGGGCTTTCATTATGAAAAAAAAAGAGGAACAAAGGCTTCCAAGAACATTTTTTTGGCAAAAATTCAATAGAGTACTGGAAAGGAGGACATAAGGAAGAGAAAACTAACAAGGAAGAAGGAAATGGAATAGAAATTTCTATTATTGTTCTACCATAGGAAAAATAAGGATTTCCCGGCAAGAAAGTAAACAGGTTTTCAAAACATTAAAAACAAAACTAATAAAATCTGTTGAAAACAGAAATCAACAATTGGAACAAACTATACGGTAAACCTAGTTCAAAATAATGAAATACAATGCAACTACCAAAGGAAGTACTCCTATAAAATTAGGTCTAAAATACTATAAAAAGACAAGAAACTCAAAACATGCAGAGCTATGGTCGTGTTCACAAGAACCATTCATAGAAAAAGAAAGAAAGTGAAAAATGTAAATACCGGTACTAAAGCCAACAGCTGTTGGAAGAAAGGATCTGTGATGCTGCACCTTCATGCACCTAGCATGCTGTGCAGCAGAACTACTGACATGCTCTTCAATTCAGCATATATATATATATATATATATATATATATATATATATATATAT